AATATAAATGTATTATTAACATTTAAATAATGTGTTTAAGATGGGTCAAAAATTTACTTTAGTATTAGAATCATTGTACTGATGTACTTAAGGATAAAAAATAATTTTTATTTACCCAAAATTACCAAATATTTCTAATTTTAAAACTATTTAATAAATATTGTACCATAGCATTATTTTCAATTTATTTCTACAATCTTACAAATAAAGCATTGTTTCATTCAAGAGTTTTTTTTATCATATGCTTTTTTTGTAAACAATCCTGCCTTACTTAATTAATTTATTGCCTTAATACACTAATTCCTAATTAATACATTTACAAAAAAATCATGATACTCACATGGCATTTATCTAATATTTGATTCCATTGCTGCTGAGACCAAAAGTCAACATTCATATCACCACTAAATGTTCCTATATTCCATGGCAAGTGCCTTCTTAAGTTTTCTGCTTGTTGGCTAACTAGTGGTACAGATTGGACAATAAAAAATGTCCATTTTTTTCCTTGACCTATTGGTCTGATTAGGATTTTAAATATTTTATTAATCTGCCTTACTTGGAAATATTTAAAAAATAGTTTGTTAACATACTTAGTTAAACAATCACCCATGCTTTTTACAAGCATAGTAGCTATATACGTTTTCCCACTTCCAGTAGGTAGGTATAAAATTGTGTTAGCTTTTTTACAATCCTCTAGAAGCTCAAGTTGATATTTTCGAGGAACTATTGCTGGAGTATTCTTTAAAATATAGTTGAATAATTAATTAACAATTAAACATGACAAATTCTTTAATTTTTCTTTTTCTTAATGTAAAAAAATTATTTTAGTTCAGATAAAATTATTTTCTCAATAATATGGAATTTGAAGAACAAAAGAAATATGAAACTTACATACTGTTTAAAAACCAATTTTTGTTTAATACTTTGCCAAGCTAAGTAAAATGTGTATAAACCACACATAATTTGGTAAACTTTATAAATATTATTTATAATATATGTTTATTATTTTCATAATTGTATGTATGTTGCTTATTTTATCACATTTACGTTTTTTAATRAACAGTGTATCCCGTGTCTTAAATGTACCATTAAATATCTCAGCACAATAATCATTGATTGAAATACGGTTTGCTAAAAAATCGTGGGGCTACTGAGGTACACATTATAGGAAAAATTTTAATTTTTAACTCTTGTAGTATGCACATGCGTTAGCAAACTGTATTTCAATCAATGATTATTGGGCTGAAATATTTAGTGGTACATTTAAGGAACATAATGTATATTTAAAGAATTAATACATAATATTTTGAAAACATGGCATTCGCAACTCACATGAGCGCATGTGTTGGATCTGTTTTATAAGTGTATAATATAACAAACTTTAAACTCAGCCAGGGGTKTAATTAAGGGTGGATGAGGAGGATAGATCCCTCCAAAACTTTTATTTTACTTCTAACATTTTATATTTGGTGGGGTAGGTCTACTATATGAAGCTTACAGATTTTTCTAAAAGCATATAATTCACCCCCAAACCAAATTCCTAACTACACCATTGCACTCAGCAGATTTCGTTTAACTCCGTTAGTTTAAAAATTAAAGTGAATTGACGGCTTATACAATTTAAAGGTAAGATTGTTATCTAAGACATCTCATAGACTTTTTATTATATTTTAATCTTCAAGTGATTTATGAGCATTTTAAGATATACAAGCATTTTACAATTTTAACTCCCTGTGCCACCTCCTCTTAAAACCTTACATATATTTTGATAATAAACAAACAACAACATTTTCTATTTTTATACCATTTACATATACAGTAAAACCTCGATAAGATGGAATCGTACGGGTCTATGAAATTTTTCCGTGTTAACAGGGTTTTCCTCTTGATGGGGTTAAAAAAATTGAATTGAATTAAATTAAAGATTACAAACAACACAAACGTAACGATATACGATTTAATACAAAACCATGCAACTCAGGTAATAAAGTTGTATAGTGTACCTATACTGTATACATATTGATTTTATTAGTTTTTTATGTCATTGTACGCACTAGTACATCGATTATTTATGGGTATCGACAATACAAAAATGAATTTATTACATAAAAATCATGTTATATTTCCGTCATAGTGAGGGTTTTCATCAACTTGCATTACAAAAACGTATCCGTTACCGGCTTGGCGAGATTTCTGTCTTAGCGGGATAAAATTATATGAAATTTGAAATGGGACCAAAAAATTTATTCCGTCTTACCGAAGGTCCGTGTTAGTGAGGTTTTATTGTATATTATTATTTTAAGTTTAAATTTTTTTTTAATATTATTTCAACAGAAACTTTTCTTTGTATCTTTGTAAACAATTAAATATTGAAATTGGTTTTGATTATCATTAATAACTTTACGAGTATCTATAAAATATAAACTAAAAATAAATTTCCCACAATTTTTCTATAAACTTTATTCATACTTTGAATATTATATCAAGAAAGGTCAGATTTAAAACAAGTATTTTTGCAAATTAATTTAAAGTMATTATGTTTTAAATTTTAAGACATAAAATGGATAGTAGGTAAACCAATAAATATGTTACCTCTGGCGGTTCATCCATTTTTGAAGTATTCAAATTGAAGAACAGGAAATCTAAAACAAAATATAGTTAAAATAACAATTTATTAAGTTGAATATGTATTCATTATTATTGAATTGTAATAAATACCATATATTTTTATGCTATATTTAATTCTAGTATAGTATAATTAATCATCCTAAGGGTTAATTGATGGTCTGTAGAATAATTTTTTTATATTTTTTAAAAATATTTGGGGAATTTTATCTCATAAAAAGTATAAAAGTAATTATAACAACTTAGGAATACTTGTTATAACACTTTTATTAAATTAACATTAAATTATTATTTTTTAATATTGGAAATTTTTTTTTTTTGATTGGTTAGGAGGTCTGTTGCTAAACTTAATGTTGTAAGGGGTCCTAACATGGAATATTAAAAAAACCTGACTTGCGGATAGTTATACAATTACTGTGAACCTTAAAATATTTAATTTTTAAAATTATTTTAATGCATGTTTGTTTTCTCTCCGGTCCACATAAAACATAGTCAAAACATATTCATTAAAAACTGTTTTTAATGTTGGAATAACATCACCCGTTGCAAAAATTATAGAGAATAATTTTTAAGATATAACTTGAAAATTTGTCTAAATATTGTTTCAACATTTTCTACAACCATTTAAATTTCCTAACTTTATTTTAGATTTTTTAAGTCGGAGATAAAGTCAAATAATATTAAAATATAAATTACACATCAAACCTTTAAAATTATTCTAATATAAATATATTAAACATCTAGATAATTTTACACAAAGATCACTCCAAGATAAATGATTTTATATGAATTTGTTTTATCTATGATGCACAAAGGAGTTCCAATAAATAAAACAAATACGCATGTGCTGAAATTGTATTACGATGGGTTAAAGAAAACTAATTACAAAACAAAATTTACCGCAAGCTTAAACTGAAGATCCAAGCACCATCTAAAACGCCAAATCGACTTTAAAAAATCCTGTAAATAATTATTTAGACTATACTGTACAAATGTAGTATGAAGGTATCTAAGTATTAAAAAATAAATTCTAAACATACAGTGATTAAATAGTACCATCATGGTTAACTTAATATACCTATTAATTGATGAATAACAATTGAATTCTAGTAATTTAACTCGTCACAGGGATACGGAATTACAGAATTACGGAAATCGAGAACTCGACATTCGAAAATTCCAAATCGGAATCATGCCCGACACAGCACAGAATGTGGCAATGRCATACCTGTTTACATGACAAAATATGGCTGTTTAGACTTTTTTGAGATAGATATCTTTGTTTTTTAATTTTTTACTTTTACCATTTCCCACAGTTATGACTAGCATCAAACACATGTAACATTCGACCTCCAATGATAACCGCTGATAATATTCCATTAGATAACCAATAACCATATTCTTTATCGACCGCATTAAAGAAGACAAAATAGAAGATATCTTTTCTACATCGTGATAAAAATAAGATATTATAATCCTTTATGTTATTTAACTTTAGCCGTGTSCAGTGTGGCCAGTGTGCACTGTGGTTACAAATAATTATGCGTAGAAATGTAACTAAAAAAATATTATAAAATATTATCATCAGTTACAATATTCGGTAATTGGAATAAAAATCCCTGGAAATATTCCTCCGATAAACCCCAGAAAAAAATCCCTAAACTACAATATTACTCATAACCACATGAAAATTATTATAATTTTGAATTTTTATTTTTAATCAAGTCAATATGCTAAAAAATATAGTTGCCCTAATTTTTAGTGAACCCCAACACAAAGTGTGTAATCCGAAATTTAAAGTGTGCACTACGGATTCGAGAAGTGTGTACCTACTAAATACTAATAAATAAGACTATTGCTAGATAGTAATACTAGGTAGTACAGAATACATTATACACATTTTTAAAAAATAAAATTTTTTTAGCCCCCCACGGTTCTGTATTATCTCATGATACGTTAAAAGATGACGTGTAGGTGTAGTACGAATTTTTGTGAAAAATGTAGGGGCTGCCGGGGCTGTTATTATATATTGGTACCGAACTAATAGTAATTAATAATATATCTCTACTCACAGTAAATTTTCAACTGTTATAAAAATAGTATATTAAAATATTTTAATAATAATAATAAAGAAAATAATTAATAAAAATAATCACAAAAAGATAGGTCAGCAGACAGCAATATTCTAAATTACAGGCTGTAATTTACAGCAGAGCTCGGGCAAAGTACATGGTCACCGGCATTCGCCTATTATCACTTTGAAAATATTATCATTATTTACATTCACAGATATATTTAAATTGATAAATAAAAAAAATACTGATAAATGATATAATATAGTATCTTATATGATAAAAATAATAAAATAGCTTATACCGTAAAACAATTAAGAAAAAGTTTAAATTATATTTTTTGATTGGAAAATAATTATATATTGTATACACAAAATCAACTAAAATGGAAGAAATTCAAAGTACGGCTGGTGCTATTCCTGTGCGAAATGAGAAAGGTAATATTAAAAACTTTTAATTACTTACCTATGTTTTTGTGCAGCATCTAAGTTTAATGTTTTGGTTTTTTAGGTGAAGTGTCAATGCAAAAGGTGAAAGTTCACCGATATGTCCAAGGCAAACGTCCAGAATATGCTCCACAGTCTACATCTGAAGAAGAATCTGATGATGATGACTTTTTGGATTCTCGTAAAGTGCGGGGTGCATCTCCCACCACTAATTTTGATTCAGAACAGATGATTCATTTACCATCAGATGTCTTAAATGATGCACGTCTCAAACGTTTAGGAGGTTTAACTGCCCGACATGGCCATAAAGATAGGCGACTTTTGCATGAGCCACAAATTATAAAGGATGATTCATCTGATGATGAATCTGATGTTGAACGCAATCGCAGGAGTCGTAGACAGGTATCTGGTGATGAAAAAGACAGTAATGATGATGATGGAGAACTTAGCGACAATGAAATAGAAAAAAGAAGACAACAATTGAGACAAAGAGTTTTGAATCAAACTAAAGAAAAGGTATCTATAGAACTAAAATATAATTTACTTTTTTGTGACTCTTGAAACTATTAACTTACATATACAATAAGTATATTGGATATAAACTAAGGTAATCTACTTAATTGGATTAAATATCCTCCAGAAAATTGCAATTTTTTCTTAATTAGTTATTGATTAGTAATTAAATTTCATTTACATATTGTATTATAAATGTGAAATTGTTAAAAATATTAAACCATTCTAATTTTATAAAATCTATAATACATATTATACATTCCAATCACCATCGAATAATAAAATAATGTTTAAAAGGATTTTTCCTGGGGTGATTTCATGTTTGTTTTATTTCACAGATTTTGATCAAAATATGCATACATTAAATACAATTTTATCTTAAAATGAACATTATTTTGAATTTTAGGAAATGAATGAAGTACTTGAAAAAGAAGATGAAGGACATAGTTCAGATGATGATGATAGTGATGAATCTTCAGAGTATGAAGACTATTCTGGTAAATTGATATATTAACAAATTTTAATTGGTATAATATAAAATTATAATTTTATTTTAGCATCTGATGAAGAAACTGGTCCTCGTCTTAAGCCAATTTTTGTAAGAAAGAAAGAACGTGTTACTATATTGGAAAAAGAAAAAGAAGAAATAAAACAAAAACAATTAGAATATGAGCAAAAGAAGTTGGCCGAAGAAAGACGCAGAGCTACATTAAGAGTAATATTAAATAACAATAAATATTTAGGTATTTCCTTCTTAAATTCACTTTTGTGATGCCTAACCCACAAAGGTATTCTATGTGGCCTCTTTAAAGTATCTACAAAATTTAAATTATTTATCACCATACATTTTAAATACACAATAATATTATTAAAAGTAATAAATAATTCTAATTCCAAAAATTTGTCAGTGGCGTAGATAGGGGGGGAGGGTTGAGGAGTTTCTACCCCCCCTCCCAACCACCCAAAAAAAACTTTTTATATCGGTATTTTATCTTCTGTGATACTGATTATTTTTAAAGTAATCTTTTTTTTGCATTTTTCGATGATGGAATTAATACCAATTTGAAACAAAACAAAAATGACGTTTAGTTTAACTAATAACTGGTAATTTGTGTCATAAATATATTTTTAAACCCCCCTCCCCCCCCAGAAAAAAATCCTATCTACGCCGCTGAAATTTGTAACAATATTTTCACTACTATTTAATTGGAAATTGGACATTGTAGTTCGTTCACTAATAATGAAAAGTCTAGTTGAAATTTTGTTATTCCAATTTTTYTTGAAATTGGTTGAGGATGCTTAGCCAAAATCTATGAATTGATTTTGAATATTTCAAAACACTCAATACAAACAGCTTTCCAAAAAAATAAGTAATTTAGTGAGCATTTTTCATTAAAAATTCAACWACCTTAATTATGTTTATATTTTTTAAATTATACATGAAGCCTTTTTAGTATCATCGTTTTATTTTCATGTTTAGATTATACATATAATTGATTATTTGAATTATTAAACATACTTGATATCCATATTTTGTAAGCTTAAGAATTTGTATACCACTTAAGGATGATCCTGTAACTAAACAAACCAAATAAAAAATAGAAAATGATTAGTAAATATTAATTACTATTGCTCTATCAATAGAAATAATTTGTAAATAAAACCAAAGTTTAATAAATACTGCATTTAATATAACCCTAACTGCTTAGATCAAAGTGTTGGTATACTATAATTATTTAATATAACTATTCACAATTAGATGGTTGAAGAAGAAATTCGTAAAGAACAATCCTTATCAAAAGCAAATAGCGCACTTTCTGAACCATGTTTAAATGATGTAAACACAGATGATGAAAATGATGAAAATGAATATGAAGCTTGGAAACTTAGAGAATTAAAACGCATTAAAAGAGACAGAGAAGAACATGAACAGTAATGTTTATAATAATATATATATTTAAACATTTATTAAGCTTTTACATTTTTAGAAAAATATTTTACTTCTTAAATTGTATGTTATCAGTTGAGCAATGTGCTTTTAACTTATATACAATTAAATTAGTATAAGTTAAAATTATATTTATTTTAGGCGAGAATTTGAAAAGGCAGAAATAGAGCGCCTTAGGAACTTAACCGAAGAAGAGAGAAGGTTAGAACTACGACTCAATCCAAAACAAGTTACTAATAAAGCAGCTAAAGGCAAATACAAATTTATGCAAAAATATTATCACCGTGGAGTATTTTATTTGGTTAGTATTATTAAATTCATCAAACATTGTGTATAATATTATTTATATTACATTTTCTTTAAATATTCACTAATTTYATTTTATTTTATTCTTATTAATCTTTTTATAGGATGAAGAAAATGATATTTTCAAAAGAGATTATTCATCAGCCACTCTTGAAGATCACTTTGATAAGACAATTTTGCCTAAAGTTATGCAAGTAAGCTTTCACAAACATTATCAATACAGTTTAAATTATACAACATTATTGTACTATTTGTTTTTTGATTAGGTTAAAAACTTTGGTCGTAGTGGACGTACAAAATATACACATTTGGTTGATCAAGACACAACTAGTTTTGATTCTCCCTGGGTATCTGAAACTGCACAAAACTTAAAATTTCATACTAATCAAGCAGCTGGTATGAAACAAGTATTCCAAAAACCTACTTTAAAGAAACAACGTACAAAATAAATCTATGACTATTATATTATTTCTATAGAATAATGAATAATTTTTAATAATATTTTATATGATAATAGTAAAATAAACAATATCATTCTACATTTCTACTATATAAGTTTTATATGCAATAAAATATTATGTCATAACTTAAAGTCTTAAAAGTATATCAATAATTACTTGTAATGTTGTACTAATGCCTAATGGCCAATAGTAATAAATAGGGCGTGGATTTTTATAATAAATTCATTACTTTATTGAATGTAGATTTCTTAATTCTTATCAAAAATAGTATGTTTCAAAACCTCTTATATAAAATAAAACATAATCATTATTACATGTAATATTAAAATTAAAACATATTCTTAAATATTTTACTAATAGTATTTTAATATTTACTCATATTACCTATTCACAGACATAGATAATAATCATCATTCTACTGGTAATATTTCAATCTGTGATAAATGATAATAGAGGACAATATAGAAAATTGTATCTGTTGGACAATCTTTACTATAGTGACTAGATGCTCTAGAGTCTAGTATATTCATTTGTTTTTCTTTTGGTACTTATATTATATCGTTTAAGTTTTAAAAATAAATGCTGAATGAAAAATAGTATTTATTTCATGTTTACAATATTGAATACACAATTTAGCAAGTATAACAACATAAATATTTACCTATTTTATTTCTTAAAAACTAATTTTACATGAAAATTCCGTATTTTAGTAATTTTAAACTACACAATAAATATACTAATTTTATAATGATGTGAATTTTGTTTTATTTTTTATCCTCCGTCTATGACAGTTTTTATATTAGAAAAAACACTTTGATTTTCAACTTCAATATATTTTCCGAGGTAAATTAAATCTAGTTTGTAGTTTTGATTTTTGAAGAGAAGGGGAGTGTCAAAAACAAATAATGGCTGGTGTTTTTGAATAATTTAGAAAAACATAAATAAATATATTCAATTTAATTTTAACAAATGACAAATTAATACTTACAAATTTCATCAGCTATTTATCATTAGTCTATTCCTCTATGGAACATATATTATATAAATTATATCTATATAATTTTGCTTCTTACATTTAACATTTTCAAATTTACATAATACATTTTAGATTCTGAACGAAGTAATGAATGTATTGATTTTACAATGATGTGTGTTTTTTTTTCTGTATCTGTGTACAGCATAACTAGTCGAAAGAATGCTTCGATTTCAAACTTTGGGGGTGGTTTCCGATGTAAAAGTGAATATCCTTGGTGCATTATAGAGGTCAGAAGTAAACATTTTCAAACAGTTTTCAAAAAAATCGAGAAAAACAAAAAAAAAAGATGACAGAAAAACGGGAATCTTTACACAAAACCAATTTWCGACCAAATCGATTTTTTTATATGGTTGTGATTCAAAAACTAAATCACTGTAAATAGGTACTTGAAATTTGTACCAAATGTTTATGTTAGTGTCATTTAAATAGAGTTTAATTTTCAAAAAACTTTGACTTTTTTTGAGTTATTTATAGACCACTGAAATTTTCGATTTTTATGATAATTTTTTTTTGAAGTGTCGGTAAATAAATGTTGGAAAATTTAATACAAGATTCTTTATAAGTTGTTTTTATTGTAGCGAAAAAAAATTAAAAATTGTTAGTCACAAATAGCACAAATTAGCAACAGAGCTGCTGCTAAACAGAAGTCGGAATTAGAATTTATACTTTAAATGCACCATTTTAAAGTTTAAAATCCATTGGGTGTTATAGACGTAGAATTATAGTCATGACAAAAAAAATCGTAAACATTTTTTAGTGAGTATTGTAGGTGTTACAGACGTTACAGTAGAAAAAATCTGCTGATATGAAAATAATATAATTGGAGTGAGACGGTCATATAGGTAAGTCAATTGACCTTCCGTCTAGGCGAATATCACAATTCACAATATATATTATTAAATTTATTTAGGTGCCTACTATATTATGTATCTTAATTTATGCCATCGTAGTAAACTCATGGATTTGGAATCATGAGATCTATAATATGRATTGTACAAAATCCTGAGCCAAATTTAACACAAATACACATAACTAGGTATATAATATGGTATAATATCAATGTCGAATTGGCCCGCCAGGATACTGGGAAGGTGAGAAAATTCCCTGTGAGCCGATCCTCGTTTATAAAACTCTGCGCCCATGTATTTGGATTACTAATTATTTGATAATATTTATTTGAGCGTCTATGTTGTTTATTGTCGTATTTTGTATGTAATTTTGACTGCACAAGCCTAATATAGTACCTACTGGCTACTACTATACAGTAATACCTACACATGATTTTAATTATCCCTAAAAATGTTAAAAAATATGTTTTTATATTTGCTGCAGAGCGATGAATGTATTGATTTAAATGATTTAATAGTTGTGTAAAAAATAAATTTTTGACCATCGTCACTTTTTGAGGCAGTTATAAATATTAAGAAAATGTTAGTTTCATTTCATCATCTTTTCTGAAAGGAAAGTGTATCTATAGTTGATTATTTGAATGGTCATAAAATTAATATTTGAAAATTAATTATTACCCATTTACCGGGCCAAAATTTTTAAGCTGACCTGGCGCTAACTAATACCATACATTGTTAACTGAAACATATTTATAACTATTCTTTTTTCTCTGTTGTTTCTTTGTCACTCGGAAGTTTCTGTGCGAGTGAGAACCATCGTTTCCCTATCCTTTATTTGTTGGTATAAAAAGACAAAAGTAAAAGTATGTTAACTGTTTAGTAAAGAATGAAATGTCGCAACCATATCATAGTGTATATAGTAAGTAGTTATAACATAGTTTAAGAAAATATAAAATAGTATGGAGTTGTATTGATGAAATAATATGTCGAATATGTGGTAGGTAATATAGATTAAAGAGATGCCATTAGGTACATTTTTACATATTTTCCTATTTTTGACCTGTTCAATAAATCATATCCTTGCAGTGAACACAAGTGTTTAATTATTGAGTTTACTTGTTTACTATATATTTGTATTGTCTATTTGTCTGTCGTCAGATGACTGATRAATGAATGAATGATGATAATATAATAAATTGTTTAATATCAATCAATTATAATTTTCTATCCATTATCAAGAAATTAGATRCTTTGATAATAGCTATCAAGAATTTACATTTGACAAGAATATTCGTCCGAACAAATCATTATTCATTTTACATTTATAGTATTAATTGGACCGAGGTACAAGTATTATAAGTATTCATAATCATAATACCTACAACAATAGGTAATTGTGCTATCTACTATTTAGTATAATAATAATTAAGACTAGAAAATTGGACTATTGGACAACAGGTGTCAGGTACAACTATCTATAGGTACTTTGAATTAGTCACAATATTATTTATGTTATTTCATATACCTTGTTACTCATATGGTATGTTGTTTATTTAAAATGTATTTTATTCTTATATTGTTTAGTATACCACTGTTCAAGTCTCCGTTCGTTTTTTTTAAATATGAATGAAAATAATGTTTATGGTAAATCTTTTAAAACATACCTTAGTGATACTGATAGTTCTTCAACCCATTCATCTTGTGAATGTGATGATGTCAACTCAAATGTGTAAGAAAATATATTTATCATAAAAAAAATTGAATAGTTTATAATATTTATTATTTCTCAAGTTCGGATTTTGAGTGGGAAAATGAAATAAATGACCAAGGAGAACTATTTTATGTTAAATGTTCACCACGAAAACAGACAAAATATACCAAACACGATATGATTGAATCGAATGATGAACCAAAAAAGACCAAAACCACGGCAGGCAAATTGGTTAAGCTTTTAAAGCGTAAGAAAAGAAGTAGAGACAGAAATGATGGATCTAAACATACTGGAAACTCTAATAAAGTTACTTTCTTAGACACTCAAGTATAAACCTTAGCTCTTAGGTAAAATACAGATATGTGTTTATTTATATTATATGTCTTTAATCATAGGAAGGCGAAGTTAGAGAAGTCACTGTTGAAGTTGAAAATGATAGTCATGGTAATCTTGGAAGAAGAGCTACATTGACTGAAAAGTTATTGGGTTTATCGACTACAGTTTTTGAAGATGGGTCGCGTATAATGGTGGCATCAATTATTCCAAATACTCCTGTCGATAACCAACGATCTATAAAAATAGGTATTATTGTACTTTGATACATGATTAAATCAAAATTATATTATTTTATTTTATCATATTATATTATGCATAGGAGATTGGCTTAAAATGATCAATGGAGAAGTTGTCACAGCCAAAACTTTAGATCAAATTCTATCTAACATAACTCCACCAACTACTGTAATTCATTATGAAACTTAATATTGAATAATTATAAAAGCTATACAATCTAATTTATTACTCCATTAGGTTATGTTAGTTGTTCAAAGAGTGGCAGTTACCTTAGTTGACGTGGACAAACACAATAACCAACAGTTATCAAGTTATTTATCTTTGAAAACTATTAATGAAGAATTTGTATCAGAACTTGCTAAATATCCTCTGGCTGTCATGTACCTGACATCTGAAAATTCAAATGCTATATATGTGTATCCTAGTCCATCATCCATATTCAATCAAATTAAAGGAGCTTTTCAAACCATTAGTCATATTGTTCCACAAATTGTCAAAACTCAGACTAAAAGGTGAAACGATTTAAAAATCCCAACAATAATACATTTTTAATATTTATTATTTAATATTATAGTATATCAATGATATGTGATGATCAGCTAGTTCATTCAATATTTTTGTTCGAAG